ATTTGTTTTGTGACTCATTACCCACTTAATAACAATAACATAAAAAATTAATTACCGCTTTACACAGGCCTAAAATAAAGTCACAATATAACATCTCACGATATCACAACTGTAAACCTGGAACTAATGAAGTATAGCCTACTAGGTGTACTTACATAATTTTAAACCATTTTGATATTTATGTCATCCAATATTGTTCAAAGTCATATAGCTAGAGAAATCTATCAAGCATGCGGAATAAATTTCTGTTATATCCCTAGTTTTGAAACTTATGTTTTATATAAGAAGCCAGTCACTTGTGGTGTACATGGATTATAAAACAGATTGATAAAATACTACTTAAGTTTACAAATGACAAATTTTATTAGTTTACAAAACTGTACATATACTTAACTAAATCTTGTACAGGTAGCATTCTGGTCTTCATGGTTATATTATATGAACCTTTAATGCTTTTGCTGCTGCAAATGCATCAATTAAACTATCAAAATTTAAGGTATTAAGTACGTCTTTTTCAATACTTAATATTGGCATGTTACTAAGTCTTTCTTGAGTCATTGAGGTTCTCAAGTATGTAAGAATTAATTTCAGCTTGCTGAAGAATTTTTCACAACTAGCAATAGAAACCCCAATTGTTAACAAAATCTGCAATGCAATTCTTAAATTTGGGAAAACATCTTCACTATATGAAATTATAAATGTTAGCAAATCAGTTGCAACCATTGGTTCAGGAAAATCGGTTTGTGTTTTTTTACTTATCACATTCTACAGTCTTTAATTTCTCTGTACAATTCTGGTCCATCAATAGCACCTGGATAGCTCTTTGCTAAGTCAGAACATTTTTCTTGCAATTTTTCGTCTTCGAAATCTCCAGAAACAATATTTTGCACATCTAGTAGAAATTCAAACTGTGAATCTAAATCTAGTAAGCGAGAAAATCTCCCTGATATTTCTGTAATCAAGCGATCAATAACATTCTTCATGATCCGATAAATTTTCTGTTCAGCAGTCAATCCAGCATCAGCTGCATTTTAACCTGGTATTTCCTTACGACGTATTTTTCTTCTTTCACTGGTCAATCCCCATGTTTCACAT